TATATGCTATTAAACCTTGGGGGCACCAATCACATTACAGTCATAACAATTTTGTATATTTATTGCAATAATTTCTTTCATATGGCAGCAAAATTTCTTGAAGAAAGGGTACCTGTTTCTAATTTATGCCAAGACCAGTGGGCTGGTGGTGGCGTTAGAGAAGAGGAAATGCAAGACCAAATTCTTTCTTCCCTAGTTGTCATTTCAAAGACATACTTACTACTTGACAAGGAAATAGGAAATCCTGTAGGGAAGGCTACAATTATATCCCACTGAGTTGACTGAATGTCAAAGTCTATACACTTGCTCAAAACTTAAAGGGATCATTGGGACGGGAAAAAGGATCAAATAACTGGAGAAGTGGGAAAAGTTGACCTGGGAAACAATCATCGTATGTCATATTTACTGTTTTTCTTTCTCCAAATGTTGGTGCCAAGACATTAATCAAATAACCAATATCCAGAACCCCTCAGATAAGATACCAAGCAGCTGTAGCCACAGATCTACTAAGGGCTTCACCATTTCAAACTCCAGACACCATCTATGAAGAGCACACCTTTCAATTCCCATGAGAACCCTCAGGATGCACTGTCTCTAGCCCTTCTGTGTCTTTACCAGCCCTCCACTCAGCTGAACTGAGTCTTCATATTTGTTCCAAATACCTCAATCCTAGAGAGATGTTTGCAATTCCTTTTTGAAGGGAATATCCCATACTTGATCTGTCTACATGAACACTCTCTTCAGGTATGACATATTTTCCTTCTAAGGAGAGATGAGGAAACTATAGGGGCAGTGTCGGCCATCTTCTATAACCAACCTTATGATTTGTCATAACTCTTAAAAATTACATTTACTTATCACTTTCCATGCTCTCATCAATCTTTATATCATGATTTTCACTTAATCCTCACAAGAATTTCCTGATCTATTTATTAAAGAGAACACCATTTACTTTATTTTTAAAGTTTATGTATTTGTTTATTTGGAGGTGGGGAAGAGAGAGAACAGGGGAGGGGCGGAGACTGAGAGGGAGAGAGAGAATCCCAAACAGTCTCCATGCTGTCAGTACACAGCTTGACAAGGGCCTATATCTTATAACCGTGAGCTCATGACCTGAGCCAATATCAAGAGTTAGATACTCAACTGACTGAGCCACCCAGGCGCCCCAAGAGAACACCATAAAGACAAGAGAATACCAGGGTTCAGAAAGGTTGAGTAACGTATCCTGAATCACATGGTTAATAAATAACAGAGCCAGGATACAACCTCAGCATCGTCCACCTCCAAAGGCCATAGTCTTAATCAGTACATAACTGTCTCTAACCCTCTGCTTCAGATAATGAGCTTTACCATCATAGTATTTAACCTATTGTGAAATATGTTCTTTCTATGTCCTAGCTTGTCTAAATCTCACAGCAACCTTCCGCAGTGGGTTCAATCACCCGTAGTTCAGAGATGAGAAAACTAAGGCACAGAAAAATTAAACTATATACCCAAGATTGTCCAGCTAGTAAGCAGTTGGTTGTGGGATCCAAATCATTGAAAATAGTTGTTGAGATGTTCTTTAAAACTACTCCCAGTTCAGTATTATGTTCTTACATAGCAGTCTTAATGCTACCAAATGCAACATTTTCAAGGTGTTTTAACAAATATATAGAAAAATACACTAATTCAGGTTCATGTTTTAGTCCAAAGGGAGAGTGCAGTAGAAACCTAGAAATTCTAAGTCTAAGGTCTTTGTCGTCAGAGGCAGTCACTGAAAAGTAAATAGAATTTTGTAATAAATGCTCAGAACCTGTCTGCCAAGCATGATTTGTTGGCATTAATTTCTTCATCCAATTGTTCAATGATTAACATATATTTACTCAGTCCCTGATGTTTCTGGGACTGGGGAATTAAAGTGGATTGAGACGTGATCCTGACTTCAAGAAGCCCACAGTTTGGTGGAGGAGACTCGGAAGGAAGGGAGTGATTATAGTACAGAGTGTCAAGTACTACAATAGATTAGGAACTTCACAAAGACAGGATCTCTGCCTTAATCTGCTTTATCTCCACCCCATACTGAGCCAACTGCCTGGCAGAGAGCAAGAACATGAAATATTTATTAATGCATGTGTGAAAGAACAGATGTAGCAAGGTGATGCTGAGGCTATGGGCGTGGGGTAGGGGCTAAGTCAGGGTTGGGGCAGAGAGGACAAAGGAAAGGCTTCTGGACTCCTGAAGGTGGTGTTTGAGCTGGGTATCAAAAGGTGAAGAATTAGCAGGAGTGAGCCAGGAAAGGGAAAAGGTTGGAGACACAGGGATTGGGGGAACTAAAAAAAGAACAAGGGCATTGAGAGTGAGTGGTGATGCTGACACAAGTCTGTAAAAGGCTTTCTAGGTTGGATTGGGGACACACAGAAATGTGAACCAGTTGACATAATGAGGAAGAACAAGGAAGATTAGAGCAGAGAACGGTGGCAACAATGAGAAACAGACCTTAAGAGGTCAATAGGAGGAGCCAGATCATGTTCTCCAGGCTAAGGATTTCCAACCTGACTCCAAAAACCATGGTGGAGCCATTGATAGGTTTTAAGTAGGGAAATGTCATCATCAATTTTAGTTGATTATAAAATTTTAAGCTCTCTTCCCTTACCCTCCAAAGGGATGACATTGTTAGATAATACTATAGATAGTTGTGTCTGAACTTAATGAGTACAGTCATCCTACCTCCAGCTCAGTTCTCAACCTACCTCTGAGGTTCTTCCTTAGGTTCTCTCGGTGCTACTTAAAGTAGCCACAATAATCCCAAGCCCTTCCCCCCCCCCCCTTTTTTCCTTCAAAGGGCATTCCATCCATCAGATACTATCTCATTCTATACCTTTAAAAGCTACTGGGAGAAAAGACAGGCACAGGCTCTTTTATTATTTTTTTAATTTTTTAAAAATTTATTTGAGAGAGAGAGAGAGTGTGTGTCTGCTGAGGAGAGAGGCGGGGGGTGGGGAGAGAGAGAGAGAGAGAGAGAATCTCAAGCAGGCTCCATGCTCATTGTGGAGCCTGATGCAGGGTTCTAAGCCACAGCCCTGGGATCACAACCTGAGTCAAAATCAAGAGTCTGACGCTCAACTGACTGAGCCACCCAGGTGCCCTCAGGCACATGCTGTTTTAAACGAAAGCCACCCAGAATCTGAGCAGACAGATGAGAGATGCATGGTAATTAGAATGGAAAGCCACCAGACCTAAATGGAAATGGACCAAGTAGCACAGACAAATCTAAACAAATTAGACTCAGAGCTCAGGTCAGCATCTTTCAAGCATGGCATCAGTTCTAAATCCCAGGTGACAGGCTTCCACATGTTTGTAGAGGATATGTAGTAACTTTCCCAAGCTAGTAAAATGACAGGTTTTATTTCCACCACATTGAAGCTGCAAGCCCTTTCTCATCATGCGTGTACTGCCCCCCCTCCCCATACTTTCTCCCATAGTTTATCCTATTTTCTGCCTTATTTGCTGTTTTCTGATTATAAAAGCAATTTGTCCTCAGTGTAAGATTTCCAACAATATGGAAAAATAACTAAGTGAAAATCATTCTTCAAGTCCTCACCTGCCCAACCAGAGTAAACCAGGCATAAAATTTGGGAGCAACTCTTGCCTTAGCTTTTGTCCTCGTATGTACATAATGCTATTGTTCTTGTTGTCTTTTAGAGGAATACTAGTTGTATCATTTGCCTTTTTTCTATTTAACTTACTGTGAATATGTATTTACATCATGATTTCGAAAGCCTGGATTTATCTGGATACACCCTAACTCTATCAATCTTCTCTTCAGACATACTTGGATTATTCACAATAACTAAAAAAAGCTTACAGAGAGAGAAGCCTATGGTAAGCATCCCTAGAGCTCAATATTCTTGTGTTTCTATGCTTATTTACTTAAAATAAAATTAAAGAAGGAAGCCTGGGTAGCCCAGTTTGTCAAGCGTTCACTTCCACCCAGGTCGCGATCTCATGGTTTGTGAGTTCCAGCCCCACATGGGGCTCTGTACTGACAGCTTAGAGCCTGGAGCCTGCTTCAGATTCTGTGTCTCTCTCTCTTTCTGCCTCTCCCATGCACATGCACTTACACATGCTATCTCTCTCTCAAAAATAAACATTAAATTTTTTAAATAAAATTCAAGAAATGGGATTGCAGAGCCGAATGGTGAGCACATTTAAAACATGGGCTATGCATTGCTGTTTTTGCCCTCTAGAAAGGTGGTTATCTATATAGTCTCACCCCCCCCCAAAAAAATGTCTGTTTTGCTCCATCTAATGTGGTGAAAATTAGCATCACATTGTTATTTTAATTATTTCATTACTTGTAAGCTCGAATGCCTTTCATATGATTATTAGGCATTTATTCTTTTTGTAAATTGCAAGTTCATGTCCTTTATCCATGTTTCTGTTTGCTGATGCTTTTTATATATTAAGGGTACTAAGAGTATTTAAATATAAAGAGTATTTGTATATATTAAGACTATATATTAAGAGTGTGTAAGGGCACCTGGGTGGCTCAGTCGGTTGAGGGTCTGGCTTTAGCTCAGACCATGATCTCATGGTTCATGGGTTCGAACCCCACTTTGGGCTCTGTGCTGACAGCTAGCTCAGAGCCTGGAGGCTGCTTTGGGTTCTGTGTCTCCCCCTTTCTCTGACCCTCCCTCGTTCATGCTGTCTCTGTCTCTCTCTCCCTCAAAAATAAATAAAACATTAAAAAAAACAAACAAGAGTGTGTGGAAAACCCACTTTACAGACAGAAAAATTACAATTTGGTCCAGTCACCTGCAGAGAGCTTCCAACCTAAACTCTGCCTCATATCAGTACTAGACGGTTAAGCCTTAATAATCCATGGCCAAAAAGACCTTAGTACCCCACAGAAGAGCGCTTTTCAAAAGAAATGAATCACAAATCAAAGGGATTTTTTTTTTATGGTGGCCCAGTTAGTACAATAATCTGTGGTCTGTGACTCGCTTTTGCTTTGGCAGATTCTGGTCCTTGCCCATGTGTGTTCCTAGAGAACCAAACGAATTATGGACTCACCATCTAAGGTAATTTAGAGAGAAGTTTCGTAAAAGCTTATTCAGCGAGTCAAAAGCTTACTCAGCTAGTCTGGGATTTATCTGTTCCAACAGCCAGCTGTAAACTTCAAAGAGAAGGAAAGGGTCAATAATCCCACCTGTCACTTCCTGTTTCAGGTCTGTGTTTACTCTGGCTCCATACTGGCATGGTGATGTTCTTCCTTACACGCATGCGTTCAGAGCCCTAGAAGCACTCAAAATGTGAGGAGCTTTAAGACTGTCTTCCTATGGATCAGTCCAGGGTTTTGCTCAGGCCAATCCTTCTCTGTTCCCTTGTTTTCACATGGCTTTTTCTTTTTTCAGGAAAAGGAAGAAGGATCTAACAAAGTTTATGTCTGCGTGTGTGCGTGTGCGCACGTGCACACGCGCACACACACACACGCAGAGATTTAAGGATAAAAAACTTAAAGCAAAAGTCTTAGAAGCCAATATCAACTGAAGACCCAATCAGAGATACCATTTCAGTATGACAACCATAACCTCACTTGATTCTGATCACCCTCATTCCACAGATGATAAGGAACTTGCTGGAAGCCACAGAACTAAATAGCGGCAGAGGTGGAAGTGGAACTCAGGTGTCTATGACTCCACACCCATTCCTGTGAGGCCATAATACCTGGTGAATCACCATACCTCCTTCCTCTTGTTTCATAGGTGAGTGAACCAAAGTCCAGTGGACTAAGCCGCTGGCCTAAGGCACGTAGCCTTTCTTGGCAGAGCTGAGTGGACAGCACAGGCCCCTGTCTGGAAGGCCACAGCTGGTGTCCTTCACGGTACTGACTCATCTTTCAGACGATGATGCAATTTAATGAGAAAACATTATTCAAGGTGTACAAACTGGATCGGGGCCATTATTCAAGAACACGTTTTATAAAGTGAACTAAACCCTATGCTCTTTGCTTAACCCCCTGTTTAGGGTATTTCCCTGGGGCCTCTCTAACACTTCTGTGTGGTGGTTGTCATCTGATGTCAGTTACCTGCAAATCAAAATGAACTGAAGCAATCGTTGCCTAAGAGTTACCATCGTCAATGAGGATTTGTGGGGTTACACCTTGGGCTGGGGTCACTTGGGGAATTTCCTGTAAAAACACCTCCCAGGCATTCTCTCTGCAGAATTCCTCCTCTAAGCACCATGGGGAGTGAGCCATCTGGGGGGCTGAGGTGTTCCCTCCCCTCCTATGCTGTGTGCTCTCTGACTCACCACTCACGGGCTCCTATCTCTTCTGCCAGCTTAGTTCTCTACCCACACTTGGATTTTCTTCTCCTTTTACTGTGCAGAACGCTCAAATAGGCACATTTTGTTACTCGGGCATCTTCTTGGAGTCTCACTTTGCTCCCTGAGTGATTTGAGTACTTATTTTGGACGAATAGGGCATCCTCCATGTTTTTCTCCATCTTTTCCCATAGGCACTATTATTATCCCAATTTTCACAGAATGTAATTATCCCCGTTTTAAGGGGTCTGGAGGTCAGAGTCGCTGCTAACACACTGCACACTTTGAATTTAAACCCATGTTTATCTGACTCCCCCAATTCTGACTGTAATGACCCACTCACTCCCTAAAAAGAACACTTAAATTATCTTGACCTTTTCACATCTCATCTAGAAGGTTTCACAAAGGTGTCTCTCTACTCTGTATAATCTCCCTTTCCTGAGGCTGGATTTCCTCTGAGGACACTTGATGTTTCCCAGGTAGGCGACCCTCCAAATGCAGCCATGAAGCTAGATGGACGCTGTGACTCAAAGAGGTTCTGTTTTGTCCATAGCTCAGTGAAGCAGTTCCTGAATGTGTTCCTGAAATGTTTATTCTATGAGATACTCTTAAACGCGGGGTTCCATGACCAAACACTTTGGGAAACTGAGATAACAAATTAAGTCATTGTTTTCCCAGTTTTGGCCTACTGACCATTTTTGTGTGAGCTGTTAGTAAAAATATTTTGAAGTCAAATAATTTTGGCAAACTGGAAATATTCTGGTTCCCTCTTGGAGATTCACAGTAAATATGAGTACATTAAAGGTTCTGACAAGTCCTGTTCCGATGTGTTGAATTTTGTTTGATTTGATGCTTCTCAGAGTTATTTGACCTCAGGGCCTTCTTTGAATTTATAGCAGCAGCCCATAAGGGCCCACTCTGGACAGGCCTCTGGTTTGAATTCTGGTCTCCTATACTCGGAAAGGAGTTGGTGGTGTTGGTGAGGGATCCCCTTCTGAGAATCTAGGTCTGATCTTGCTATCAGCTGATTGGTTGATGGTGAGTAAGTCACTCTTCTCTGGGCTTCAGTCTTCCCATCTGTAAAATGAAGGAGTTGCACCAGGCTGTCTGTAACTTCTCTTCCAGTTTAAGTCTCCCATCACCTGAACATGTGGATTTGGTGGGGCCACGACAAACTGTCATGATAAACTGCATTTGTAGCTCCTTAATCTCCCTCAGTCACCCACAGACAAAACAGTAATAATCTTCTTCCAAGCTGTAGAAATTTTAAACATATAAATATTAATTTGCCCCCATCTGCTAGTAAAATATTCTCTGGAATTGCATTACCATTTACTGTTTCAGAACTGTGAAGCTATCTTCGATCAGCCAGTTTCTAGAATCATGGGAAAGCCCCTGAAACCTCCAGGGTGCTTCCAGTGAACCGCCGTGAGACCTCAGGCAGGAAATTTACTTCTCTGACTTTTACATTCTTCATCCACAAAAGGAAAATAATGATTGTTTGTCCTTGATTCTTTAAAGACATCTTGTGAGCACTGTCAGTCATAGTAAAAACAAACAAACAAACAAACAAAAAACACCCAAAACCCAAAAAACAAAACAGAACTCCTCTGTCCTCTGGCTATATACCTGCGATTGCCTAAAGTCCACAGAAGTGTTTCTGGTCTCTCTCTCCTTCAGTTCTCAACTGCTCCTAGAGCTAGGTAGGTGCTTGCTACAACATAAATACTCCCTTCTTAGTACTAATACTAGTATTATATGGGTGAGATTATGATACCTTAATCTGGAAGACAGTTTACTCTGTTTCAGTGCACGTATCTTAGTAAAAATCCTTCTTAAAATACAGAGGATCACAGTGATGGTAATAGCTGGACTTTGACATCAGACAAGACTAGATTTGAACTCAGCACTGTTATGTACCAGCTGTGCATTCCTAGGCAAGCTGCTACCCTCTGATCCTCAGATTCTTCATCTATAAAGTGGGAGCAGTATGAGTCACTGCCAAACTAGTTGCAAGAATTTAACGTAGTAATTTTTGTAAAGCTCTTGGTACATTCCCGGGGCACTTGTGTGCTCAGTATATCGGTTAAAAACATTATCTGTTAGTTTCAGACACACAATGAAAGGTGATCCAGAAAGAAAACCATGGCTGTGCAAAGGTAAGGAATCCTGCTCAGCCATCAGAAAAGATAACTGTAATTAGTGGTCCTTGCAAACGTTCATTAGGAGGCCTGCAATATTCAAGCTGGCCAGAGGCCCTCTTTAATTAACGCTTCATTGTTCATTATTGAACACTGCCACCTGGTGGATGGACAGGCCACATGCAGGCAGGGAAATCAGGGTCGTTAAGTCAGGTTCCCTGGCCACAGGAGGAAGAGGTTGTTCTGTCCACCTGGTCCACACGGGTGTCAGCATTTTGCTTTGGAGCTAGGCCCATGGAGAGATCTGCTGATTCCTGTATGTGGACTTCCCTTCACCTTCATGCAGTTGTCAAAATGACACAAAGGCTTGAAAACTGTGTTCTTTTCATTGACCGATCACATGACCTGAGCCGCAGAGAAGCCTCCTCTGACAAAGTGACCTGAAGTGGGGCCCTCCTCCATCGCTCTAACCCAATCACCTCATTCTTCTCTGCAGAGAGCAATCACTATCTAAAAACATATACAAGCATTTTTTCTGTTTCTCACTCCTTTCTCTCCTCGACTGGAATGGAAGCAAACTCTCTGAGTGCAAGGGCCCAGAAGCGGTATTCCTTTATGCACTCATCACAACAAACACAGGCCTGTATATAGTAGGTGCTCAAAAAAGGTGTTGCCTATAGAATAAAAAATAGCAATAATAAGGCTAATAATCACAGCATTAATGCTCACGGATCCTTCATTTGCCAGGCATAGAGCAATGCTCTATACAGATATCATCTCATTTATTCTTCACAATCACCTTGCTGATGGGGTGTCACCATCCACGGAGCACCAGAAATTCCTAGGACCTAGGGTCCCTGGGTTGCTCAATCAGTTAAACGTCCAACTTCGGCTCAGGTCATGATCTCATGACTCTTGAGTTCAAGCTCCACATCAGGCTCTGTGCTGACAGCTCACAGACTAGAGCCTGCTTTAGATGCTGTGTCTCCCTCTCTCTCTGCCCCCTGGCTGCTCCCTGCTCTCTCTCTCTCTCTCAAAAATAAATAACCATTTAGGGGTGCCTGGGTGGCTTAGTCGGTTAAGCGTCCGACCTTCACTTAGGTCATGATCTCGCGGTTCGTGGGTTCGAGCCCCGCGTCGGGCTCTGTGCTGACTGCCAGCTCAGAGCCTGGAGCCTATTTCAGAGTCTGTATCTCCCTCTCTCTCTGACCCTCCCCTGCTCATGCTGTCTCTCTCTCTCTCCTAGAAATAAATAAAAATATTTTAAAAATATATAAAAAAAAATAAATGACCATTAAATTTTTTTTTCAAAAAAGAAATTTCTAGGACCTAGAAGTGATATTCCCAGGTCAATAATCACAGCAGCTCTGGGGCGCCTGGGTGGCTTAGTCGGTTAAGCGTCCGACTTTCGCTTAGGTCATGATCTTGCGGTTCGTGGGTTCGAGCCCCGTGTCGGGCTCTGTGCTGACTGCTAGCTCAGAGCCTGGAGCCTGTTTCAGTCTGTGATTCCCTCTCTCTCTGACCCTCCCCTGCTCACGCTGTCTCTCTCTCTCTCCTAGAAATAAATAAAACATTAAAAAAAAAATAATCACAGCAGCTCTTTGCCCAGCAATATAATGCCAAATTTTATGTAAGCCTCTATCTTTTGTAGTCCATATTAGAGATTCACCCATTTTACAGATTTGAAAGCTGACTCTCGTAGAAATGAAACTGCTTCCCTAGAACTATTTCAGCTCCTATGTAAAACCCAGTTCTGGTCTAATTCTAAAAGTCCTGCTCTTTTCACTACAACACAATGCCTTCTATGTGATACATGGATAAAAAGGGCTTCCTGAATTCTGGCCTGGAAACCCAGACCTGAGTGTTGGCTAAGCATATGAAGCAAACGCTGCTCCCAAGCTGCACTGCAAGTTGGACTTTTCTGTAGCCAGGTCTTTATTGGTCCACAGATGTCTCCCGCATCTCCGCTCCAAAGAAAATAACTAGCTGAGATTTACTGAGATTTTACTATATGCCAGCAAGATTCAGTGATCTTAGTTAATTCTTACAGCAACCCTGTAAAAGAGGTGACCGATCAATCGATCAATAGATAGATATACAGACAGATAATTATTTTCATTTTACAAATGAGGAAACTGAGGCACAGAGAGGTTAAGTATTTTCCCCATGGTTACCTCGGTTGTAAGCCAAAGCCCTGACTTAACCCCATGCAGTCTGCCTCTAGGATACAGTCCTCAGCACAGGCGGACCCTCCAGGAGGCTCATCCTGCTGCAATTCCTCTGCCCTAGAAAACCTCAGGGCATCTCGCTTGGTACAGCACTTCCTGCAGCGTCTCAGCTCAGAAACTGCAGAAGTTGGAACAAGACAGGAACATCAGGGCACCCTGTGGCTCCCCTAGCCTTCCTGCTTGCAGACCTGGCCCACGGTTCCTCTTCAATTAGTTTCCATCTGTAGGAGCAGCAATTCCCTAGGGGTACACGGGCCAAAAAGAGAGACCGACTCAG